CCTCATTGGATCTGTCTAACAGCAGGGCAAAATATCCCTGTAATTCTTCCCACTTTGTCAATGTAGGTATATATTCTTCTAGGACATGGTTGAAAACTAAATATAATAATCATCTGGTCCATAAATAAGTTTGAGAGAATGAAGCAAGCTCCGAACAAAGTGATAAAAGCTATCAAGATTTGTTTTGCATTGCTTTTCATAGATATTTGTGTCATTATCTTTTATAGCACAGATATACTCACAGGAGGGACATTTTAAAGTCAAAATGAACTTCACTAAAATGGAACTAACAATTAATTGAGTATATCAATAAAGTAAGTATATCAATAAATTCTAGAAGGAGAACATGTTAGACTTCCATCGCATTATCCACATTCAAACATTTAACATTATTATAGTAATGTATAGAAAGGCTACATAAGGGGAAAGTATGGGATAATTGGTGAGTGATCAATTTCAAGTATATCTTTAATATTTTTAAATATGTCCATTAATATTACAATCATTGTTAATTATTTATTATTATTATTATCACTATTGTTTTTTGTGCAAGTATATATGTTTTGAAGCAGTGAACATTTATTAAAATATTAACATTCATTCTTAGTAAATTAAGCAAATCAATACATTTAAATATTGTTAAACTGGCAGTCTGAGTTACAGACTCCTTCAAAGACTTGTACATTCCTATTTAATTAATGTTTGTTTTTCAAAAAATTATTAAAAAAATGAAGTCAGACACGTAATTATCTTGTGGTTCCACCATCGACCAAGGAAAAGTAACCTTTCATTATCCAGCATCTACGAGCTGGAATCAACTTCCTAGCAACATACTAACTAGGAATTACCAGAATTCAAATGAATATACATTTTTAATGATCACATGTAGGCACTGGCCTCTCCTCTATTTTGTAATGAATTCCTTTATGTACAATTTACATTTTCATTCTAAATTTATTCACTTTTGTACTTTTGCAATTGTATAATAAAAAACAGTGTCACTGCACTGAGAACAAAGGAACAATGAAGAGAAATGCTTCTCGAATAAATAAATAAATACTTCACTATTAATAATGATAAATCATTATTAATAGAGAAGTATATATTTATTAGAAATACTTCTCTATTAATTATGATTTACCAATAATAAAATTTCGAAAAAATGTAACAATTCCTACAAGATTTAGACGCTATCAAAAAAGGTTCACAAAAAATTTATGAGATTGCCTGACGAAGAGCCCGCTCGAAAGGCTACCAAAAAAGGGAAACAATGCACGAGGATGACCAGAGGTTACATGGCTTTAAACCATTCAAAATGTAAAGAAAAAAGTCATACAACAAAATAATTGTCTTAGTATAGAACACCTTATGTAAGGCAGTTCCATATGGCATGTCATCGTATAGTGGTTGCAGCAGTAAGGATCTGTGCTGTTTGCACAGAACTCCCATCAAGAAATCGTGGACGCCCCAATCAGGGAACAAGGCTATCATCTTTCCATGCCTATTCTTAAAATTTTCTCACCTCAGCCCTAGCCAGCGGTGGGGGCTAAGGGGAAGTTTAGTCTGTCTGGTACTTGAACTCCTCATCGGGAAATTCCTGGTGCCAACACAGACATAATGTAACACATAAATGTCGCAAGACAAATAGAGAATTATGTTGATGATGATCTATCTATGTAGCCTTATCAATTTCCCCCTTTATTCTGTCCTGTGTTTCCTTTGCCATGGGCGTCTGCCCTAACAACTACCTCTTATTATCTTTCCGCCTTCTTTTCTATCTATGCTCCTGGGGTTCAATTTCTAGTGTAAATAGTTAAATATTACAATAAATTAATATAAATAATAAGTTGATCATAATGCATACATTCGCATAAACAAGACAACATAAAAGTAAATCAGATAAAAAAATATTCTATCAATTAGTTATGTTTTATGTTTTAGAACAGTTTTATCTTAATTTTATACACACATATTCCCTTCAATAAATTAAATAATATTTTCATCTTTTTTTAAAGTACATTTGGAATGATAAATGAATGAAATTTAAATAATATAAACAATATGAAAGACAAAGTGATTCCAGAGAACAAAATAGATATCAGTAAGAAATATAAATAATTAATGTATGGATATTAACACCATTAAACACCTTCAACATTATAACAATGAAGATAATAATGAAGATAATAATAATAATACTAATCTGTCATTTTATATATAATAATACAATCTAACATTTGTACAGAATTTAAAATAAAGATTAATTTATTACAAAATATATTTTATTTGAAACTTTTGGGGATTGAAGAATTTGAATTATAGTAAAGTACTTGGACAAATTTGAAAAATATTTTATTTTATTCCACTAAAAATAAAATTTAGTGGGATTAGGCTTCCAAATGATTTTATGGGAAGGTACACATGGATTTTAACACTAAAAATTGTGAAAATCAATAAAATAATTGATAATACAACTGTTATGAATAGTAGTTGATTTGGGCACGAAAAAAAAAATAATCACATAAAAACCACTACCACCTTAATGATTTTTATTAGAATCAGGGCTCGCTTAAAAATATCATGAATATTTGGCTGGCTGCCAGTATTAAAACGGACAATCAAGGACGCTTGTCTCGAACAAAAGTGCTACTGTTAGAAACACAGCGTACAGCATAAACATAGAAGCGCCCAGCATCTTCGTCATACGCCACTTGCACGCGATGATCATGATCATAACAAACACAATCATGCCGAACAGAAGAAGGATCGAGCAGAACAGATTATCACTGTACACTTTAGCAGGTTCCCAATAAATTATGTAATACAGCATCCATGGAAATGGTAACCTAGGAGATAATAATCAATAACAAAACATTAAATGCTGAATTATATGTTTCCTTTTTAATTTGATTTAAATATGAATGAAAAAAAAACTGATATATTATTTTGGTTACATTTAAACAAAAATGTCTATAAGCAGATTAAATATAATTAATTGATATTTTACAATATTTTTGTTTTGTTCTCCTTCAAAGAAAAATGGATATAATAGAAAGAACAATTATGTACAACATGGTATTATTCTAGCACTTTAAAATGTGGCAAATTACTTTTGTATACACAAAACATAAATACATAATACAAAAATATCCAGAAAATTGTTGCAGATAAATAAATCTGAATGTTTACAAAAACACATAATTTAATGTCTCAAAATGTTTGAATTAAACAAAATAATATAAATAAATTTTAAAATGGAAATATTTTTAAAAATACAGCTAAAAATATAATGTAACATTTGAAAATAAACTACTAACAATATAAACAATAGAATGTTTAAATAAGTAAGTAAATAAATGTAAGATATATATATCTTTAAAATAATATAGAACAATAGATATAGTATTATTCTTACCCAATTGTTACATCAAAAATGTTACTACCAACAGAACTGGAGACAGCCATATCCCCCAGGCCTTTCCTTGCCACTATCACACTTGTAATCAGATCGGGAATACTGGTGCCAGCTGCAATGAATGTCAAACCCATGACCTACAAATTAAGATAAGGCCTAGAATTAAGAGACGTTCTACAAGTAAAAATGCCCTGAAATAATAATAAGTATCATTTTAAAATATTTATTATACAAATATTGACTGCTCACGAGGGAAATGGTGAAATCTACTGCCCTGAGGTGATGTAGAGACCGTAGCCCATTTTCCCGAGGGCCAAAGGGAAGATAGGCTATGGTCTCCACATCACCGAAGGGCTAAAGATTTCACTGTTCCCCGAATCTATAGCAGTCAATATTTGTTTTATATACCTCATACAACATAGATTCTACGAGACCTAAAAAAGTAATGAAAATAGTACACACCAAGTAGGCTTACTTCCTAGGCCTAGGCGATCAAAGGGCCAATCTCTCTTAGTGAGCATCGTAGACGTTACGTCACCTTTACCATTCGTGCATGTTATAAATTAGTTACCACCCGGTCTAGAGATTGCACATCGCGCAGCAGGGCAAAAAAGTGCTATCCCATAGGGTAATAGTACTGTCTATTGCCTGCTTCTTAATCAATCAGATGCCTAGAATCTATGTATGAAGTATATAATAATTCTTATATTACCGGTTTTTTGACTTTGTCCTCAAAAAATAGTTGCACTCCACCATATATCTCTATCCACACTATCAAATTTTATGTGACAATTTTGTGATGTGCCCATATATGGGCATGACCATGTCATATAACACCCAAATATGGGCATATCACATTTTTATGTGACATAAAATTTGATAGTGTGGATTGGGCTTTAAGTTCAGACAGAGAGGTCTTGTCCGATCCCTCTAAACCCCCCCCCCCCAGCATCTACGTTTGTAGACATACTTACAGGATCGGATATACCAAACGTTTGTCCCACTACAGTTGCCCACCAGACCATGAGGTACGAGAACACAGCAATAAACAGCAGAGCCACAATAAAGGTCACTATAAAGTATTTCTTCTTATCCTAAAAGACAAAAATAAAAGAAATTAAATTAATACTTGTTAATGAAAATAACTAAAAATTGTAATAATAATAAAAATTTTTATATATATTTGCTAACAAAAAATAATCAAGGTCATTTTTGGGGGATTTTTTTTTTTAAATAAAAAGAACTATTCATTCAAATACCACCCTCTCTTGACCTTCAAACAAGTTTGGAGGGTTGTCGATAAGAAAAGAAGATTTGATGAACACAAAGAAAGAAAATAAAATCAATGCTCAACAAAAGATTGCGTCAATATTTGTTTGTGCAAAAATAGCACTTAACGGATCAATATTCTATTCAGTATTCAAGTTATTACAAGCAAGGTGAAGGGCTTAGCAGACATTTATTAAAGTGCTCAGAAAAAACTAAAAGCTCTGTCCCGATTATAAAATTTTCTTTGATAAAAAAACTGTTGTATACTAATATATAGTCATGATGTGCCTATATATATTCATGATGTGATGTCATCATGACCATATTTAGGTGGTATGTGACATGATTTTGTAAAAAAAAATGTGATGGTCAGGGACTAGGCTTAAGAATGTTTATCAACATTTGTGTTGACATTATAGCTCCTCTTTTTAAAAATTAATTTTGGATGCTTTTATTTAAAAATATTTTTTTTATAATAATTCCTGATTATGATTAAAATACTGAATCCTAATGCGTGCATTTCAATACTTGGAGCATGTATGATACTTTCTTATTTAGAGATGTCATGAAGTTAAAAAATGAGAATTTTAATACCACATTTAAATTGTTTAATTTTTATATTTAAGTTATTGAACTTAAAATTAAAAATTTGAATGAGAGAAAAATTACCTCGTCAATTTTCAGACAATAAGATAATAACTTTCTGTATTCTCTTGCATTGATCTTTAAATTGGCTGGTAATCAAGTTAAGAATTTTCCTTGTACCGATAAATGTCGGTAAAAACTACTTTTTTTTTTATCTGTTTCTTTGATCCTTCTTAAATGAGGTATGCAAAAGACAAGTAGTACATTTTAAAATAAAGCAATGATGAATATAAATTCAGTCGCTACTTTGATATGCAAGAATAATGGGTTAAGATGATAGATTCGACTTTCTCTGCAATGTCCAGAACTCAGAAACAACATTAATGTCTAAAGCTCTGATTTATGTGGTAATAATAATAATAATAATAATGCCAAATATTAGCGCCAATTCTAGATGAATGACCAAAGGCACTGAATGTTATTACCTCTGGTCATTGGATAACATAAATTTGTGTCAATAATTTGCCCATAATATAGGCATTATGATGTCATATAACACACATGTATCGGCAGATCACATCTACTGTATTTGTTGACACACACAACTTGATACGTAGGTACTGAGAGAATCAATTACACTATTAATGAGTTTGGCTGGATCATAATTGTGCAAGGTAGATATATTACCGTTATTATTATTCATATGATTTATGATTCAACATATTTATTACCCACTAAGTTAAAAACAAAATAGTTTATAGGTTTCTCAACTATAAGAGATTTGTTACATGTATAAATCTGTGGCTGAGACTCAGCACCAGTGTTCTCATGATGCTGGTTTAGCCATCAACTTTATGGGAAAAAATAAAAATTGTGTATTGGTGCAAAAAAAAAAGAAAATACCAGGCTTTTTTTAATAGAATACAACATAATTCCAGTCTTGTCCTAAGCTGAGATTATATGTGGAGTCGTTATTTTCAAATTATTGAACCACCAAAATGACTATGCCTCGTGCTGTGCGCTCAGCCAGCTTTATGTGGGCAACTTTACTAGTAAAATTTTTCAACTGAAACACTGAGTACTATTTTGAAATCACTGGAGCTTAAGCTTAAGTAAGACAAATGATAATTAAATTGATTGTCTGACGTGTTCAAACAAGACCATAAGCCTATAAGATATAAATGATATTATATACCATGACTATCAATCATGTATTTAAAGAGTATGGATAACAACTATACAAATTGCATTATAACCAATCAGAAAATAAAATGCTCAGGATATCAAAATAAACATGTATAGAATGTAATTTCCAGCAGGCATATATAGTGAAAGTTGTTTATGTCTCCATGTACTTTTTGAATGTGGACTCAACACATTTTGTGCTAGAAACAGTAGTCTCACTCTAACATGAGCCGACATCTGAAAATGATTTCATTGTAATAATTTTGATTAATGACAAATTGATTATTCATTATTATTAGGATGTCTTCATCATTGTCAGCCGCGCAATTAAAATACAAATTAATGAAGGAGAAGAATTCAAGCGACGCTTCATTTCCAAAACAACTGCGTATCAAATCACTTGTGATGATCAATAAATATTAGAAACGTTCAATTGCACAGAGTGTTTGACAGACAGATCTTAAGCGCTATCCCCACTATAAAATTTTCTTTAACAAAAAGCGGTTGAATGCCCGTATATAGTCACAATGTGCCTATATATGGTCATGATGAGATCATCATCATATTTAGGCATTTAGATAAGTAAGCATAGTCATAGTATCCAAGCAGATTGATCATTCTCTGAGCCAAACACATCACCGTCGTTAAGGAACCCTGCCATATGTGTACATCTTTAGAGTTGTAATTGGTTGAAATCGGGAAATAATTTGCTGACTGACTAATCAAATTGAAGTTTATAAAACAAGCTTCAATTGATAGTAGACGTGCGAAAACCTTGGTCTTTGAAATTATGATTTTCATCTTTTCAACAAAAACAAAATAGAGGGCTCACTTTAACATTATGGTTTAGTTTCTTTACAACTGACAAAAAACACTTACTGGTCTTCGAACATCGGGTATTGTTAACCACATAGGAAATACAAGAGGTGCTAAGAGCACGTATGTTATCCGTCGTCTGGTTGAATCTGGCCAGCTGATATCTAATGGTTCCTCCTCTTCTTCAAGGTCCTAATATTGATGATATAAGAAGATATAAGAATATATATAGGATTATTAAAGAAAATATCCATATTCTAAAGATTTATTAAAGTTGCTAGTATTGAAGTTATATTGCTCACTTTTGAGTCCAAAGGTAATGAGGCCAACACCAGCTTTTGTATGAAAAATTATAATAATACAAATAATGAATGTTAAATTTAGCTAACAGATGATGATTAGTTAAACTCCTAATTTGAAGTACCATTATTTATTGATGTTTAAAATTTGAATTTAAATACTTCTTAATATCTTGCGATGCTACGTTTTTAGTACGGTACTTTATATCAATAAAGTTTTAAAAAATAATAACTTTGTTGTATATTTTTCCAAAAACCAAAAGGTCCACTGATTAATCTCAGATAAGATAGTACATACTCCAAGTATCGAAATGCAACACAACACGATGGCGTGCATTTCGATACTTGGAGTATGTATTATACTATCTTATTTGTTGTATATATGTTATATATTTTATCTTTGAATGCAAATGTAATAAGGGCCAATATTAGGTTCTGTATGAATAATTATATGAAAATAGTGAATGTTTATGAGTGCAATGTAACAGAACACCTTCAAGAGATGATGATTTAGTTAAGCTTCTAATTCGTCACTTACAAGTACCCATTAAATTTCCTGATGTTTAAAATTCTAATTTGAATTTTTTTCAATATCTCAATGCTACCGTTTCAGTGTATTTTATATCACTAAAATTAAATAAAATAATAACTTTGCAATGTATATTTTTAATTGAATTATTCATGACTCATCCCTTACAGGATGGAAGTGATGCTCTATCAACTAAGTCTCAATTAAGAAAACTGGTGGCTGAATCACAGGAAAAAATTGAGTTTAAGCAGGATTTGAGCCCAGACTCTAGGATTGGTAATCAAGCACCCAGTCGTGTATCTAGGGATGAGGCACATGCCCCAACCCCAAAAAAATACTAGCCCCCCCTCAGGTGCCCCCTGCATTGAAAATGTTAAAAGAGATCATGCTCATTTAGTTTAAAATCACTTTAAATCACGGTATTTTGTGAGCTACCGCCCCCTTACCTAATCATCAAGTCCCCAAGTTCACCTTCCCCTCCCCCATCAGCTAAAATTAAAAGCATGTTTTGTTTTTATAAAAGAATAATAAATAAAATAAATAATAAATACATCTTACACATTCCTGCTGTACTGTATCCAGTTGCTCCTCAACTCCTGTATTCAGGTTTCCGTTCATATAACCGTTATCAAAATTTGTTTCTGAAACACCAAGATTAACCTCGCCACTAATTTCAGCGTTCTGCAGTTGTGTGCTCGAATTCGCCGACGTGGAAATAGTCATCTGATCCCCGTTGGACATTTGTCCAGGTACCGTCTCTGCATTCACAAAACATGTCAAAGAGCCCTGGCTTGCATTGAAACTGGTTGAGTCCGTTGAGTTCAGTTGGCTTTTACCATTTGTTATCGGTTTCTTACGGGGCGGAGACTTGGCAATTGCACTCATGTTTTTTGCTTTCTGATCAATGGTGGCTAGAAGAGTGAAAATACAGAAATACATAAAATAAATGTTTGCCATTTATATATTATTTATTTATTGAACTCTATTTGAAGTGGTTAGCCATTTCAGCATGGTTGATATGATATAAATGAAAAAAACAGTATTTAATGCTGTCACCTAATTCTGCAGCCTTTGGTCTAGGCTGGTTATGTATGAGACTACCAACCTCTTTCCCTCTTCATTGCGTAGGTATATCCCTTCCTAGGAGAAAATATTTTAATTATGGGTAACACAATTTTTTGAGTGATGTCATAGTGATTATTATGTATGTATTACATTGTATGTTACTTTTTTTCAATTAAAATGTCAAGAAAATCTCTGATACAATAATGGTTTGGACTTTGAAATCATGCTATTATTCCAAATCCCGGCGAACAGTCATTTTAATGAGTACATTTGAAATAGAACTCTACTGTTCACTTAATACCGATATGTTATTACCAAAAGAATATTGATGATATTCACGTTTATAGCCTGGGGAAAAGGTGGGATAAAAGGGTAGTTATGCTTCTTTCCCCCCACCCCCAGTTTTTAAATATTTAAAAATCTCATTAACCATCAAACACCTGTTTTGCCTCTTAGAAAAATAAGTTGTACAATATATCAAAAAATTGATTTCTTCTAGAGCACGGCTTTTGAAAGATACAAGTTGAAATATTTTGAAATTAACAATAATATCTTCTGCTCCTTAAATTTCGGAAAAATTTCTAAAAGATCAAAAAAGAAAAACAAACCTGATCTATTAAAATACCTAAAATTTTGTATTTTACCTATTTCAAAAATTTAAAATAAATAATTTAATGATATGTCAGTGTTATATAGAGCAAACCTATCAATCCCTCTAGCTGATTTATGTTATATTACCCTAGTTACTGGAAAAAAATCTGATGGAACACATTCATAGGTATCTAGGATAAAATAGCATTTAAGCAGTGCATTGACATTAAACCTGCAAGAAACTGCACTTAAACTCTTTCATGAAAGAAGAAATCACAGATAAAGTGCATTGGGAGTAAGGAATCAGCAGTCCATGGGGAATCGCACCCCACACTGTCTTAGCTGATCCAACCAGTCTCAATTATTCAAGTCCACGGAATATGATCAAATGTTGCAAGTTAATGCCTATCCCGAAATTGGCAAGCGACACGCTATTAGTTGCGAATGAAATTATGAAAGGTATATATAGCTCCAATTATAGGTTTCAATCATAAACTTGAAATGCATCTCATTGATTCATTTGTTACAGTATGCCACTTACTGAGCACTTTAAAGAATTGTGTAATTATCCACCATAATTAAAGGGACACACTTCCAAGTTGATAAATCAGGGACATCATTCATCAAAACTATGGTTATTCAAATATAATCAATCTTGATTTCTCCATATTGCAATTGGCGGTGATGCGCTGAATGTCCTAATTTACATGTAGAAGCGCTACCTGCCAGTTGTTATTTATTTATTTAAGCTTTCTTTAACCAGGGGTATCCATTCAGTGACTAGCACTGCTTTTCAAGGAAGCCCTGGTACATACAGTGAATATATAAAAAAATAAATAAAAAAAAAATAATTTTTACAATCATGAAATTCAAAAGTAACTAAAAAGTAAATCAAAAACAACAAGATAGCCTGAAGCTGAAAAGAAAGCAGACAAATGAAAACTACCAAACCAAAATGAAAAAGGTACAGTCTTATTAAATACAGATAAAAGCCTCTTTTTTAAACATATTAATAGAAAGAGCATCAAAATTGTTACGAATGTTGTGAGAAAGATTGTTATGTGTTGTTTGCGTATTGTCTGACGTGCGATTGTCCCTTTAAGTAGTTTCACTGGCTCCATCACAAAGCATCTCTAAACAAAATAATGTTTGGTTTGCCATGACAACTAGACTTAATTCAAGGAGAAGATTGGTAACTAAACATCTAGGCTGGCTAAAAAGGAGTTCCTTAATCCATTGTGAATATTACATTTACGTAAAGTTACCACCAGTAAGAGGAAATTAGAATGGTAATAATTGAATCTATTGAGTTTTTTGAGGTAATGGATTATAATAAAATATTAAGGGATGAAATAAAATAAGATTACATACCAAGTTCAGAAAAAATTGAATAGATAAATCATTTTTTAAAGAACATAAAACAATTAAATTAAAAGAATGATAACATCTGAACATCTGAACTTAAGATTTGAAAATCTGAATGAAGAAATATGTTTCAACCTATTAACCTAGTATAAAAAGTATTCCACATATTTTTGTTATGTAATTCATAAATCATATTTTTATGGTTATGGCACCTCTAGATGGCCAACAATGGCACTCACAGACTTAAATATATTATATTTTTCTTTTTTCTACATCACTTTCACATATTTAAAGGGCACCTGGGCGGGCTCCCCCAACCCCCTGAATCCAACTATGCAAATCACTCAGAACTCAGGTTTATTTTCTCCGTCATTCAAGTTGTATGGAAACATGCTCTACTGACTTATTTATGGATGGACAATTTGTACGAATGTAGGATAAAGAAATCAATAAAAATGTTGCATTGTATGTTTCAATTCTCTTATTAATCAATGATTTCAGCTGCAATCTTTGTGTTACAACCCTCAGGATAATGCAGTAAATAATTAATCACGTAAAAGTCGTATGTTTAAAAGAGATTTTTTTTTGTGAACATGTTTTAACAGATTCTTTTGTACAGTAGATTGTAATTTTGTTTTCAGTTTAATAATAAGTGTGCTGAAAGCTAATAAAGTTCATGTAATTCATCGATCATATACCTTTAAACTGAATGAGACGATTAAGGATTGGTTAATTAGCAATCACTCATAAAATAGAATAATAAAAACTATAATAATATTACAATGTGAAGGTTTAAAGAGTTAAGGTGCTATTTCAACTGTTGATAGAGTAACCGAACAGTGATTAGAAGATCATATGTTTTTATCATATTTATAACATGATTAAGATCTTGAAACAAATTCATCTGGTTGTAATAGTAGTAGGTTGTAACGTTATTAAGATTATCATCTAATGGAGGGGTTTCTCCATTAATGTGATATTAATGGAAGACAACAACATAAAAGAAAAATAAAATTCACATCGCCTTTTTATTTGTATACTTTGTTTACCAACCAAATAAAATTATATTAAATCTTTGCCTGTAACTAAATACAAAATACAAGATTCTTTTATTGACATTTTGTAAACGAAATACAAGCCAAATTCGCCTTTCCGATGCAAAATTACTAAAGACGTTAGACTAGAGAAAAATACAATCAAAGGATATAAACAAAACAGAATATACAGTGCGATACAAATAGATACAAGTGTTTGACAGTCTATCTATTAAAATCAGCATTACACATGTGAATACAATCAGAATACAACACAAATTGATAGAAAGGGAGGAAACTGATAGAATATAAACAAACAAAAATTGATACATGAAAAAACTTCACAATGAATAGCAGAAGGAACTGACAACAGAACTAAAAAAGAAAAAAATAATCTTGCATACAAATTATCATGTTTAACAGGAAGAGGGAGAAAATGAAAGAATTCAAAAAAAAAAAATATTATTATTTAATAATATTATTATTGTAGACAAAACAGAAAAAAACAGAATTAACCAATCCTTAAACTGACAGAATTTGAAATGGCAACATAAAGATTGAAATCACATGTTAGAATGGGAATTGCTTTACATAGACAACATTATATTTTTATTCCATCATGGGAAATTAGATTTATAGTCAGATATTAGATAAAATAAATAGTCTACATGGACAATAATGAACTTGTATATATATATACAGATGACTTTTCTTCATTCATCAACATAATGAATGTTTAATGTGTCAGGCTATTTTATACAATATGCTGTGAATATGAAAGCAAAGATGGCGGAGGACATCAGTAATGTACATTAGCAGCCTGAACTGATGAGCATGATGATATAGATGACGATGATGACAACATTATTGATCATAATGATGATAATGATGATTATGATGATAATTTTGATGGTGATACAGTAACAACGATGATGATATTGATCAATCAATCATTCATATATAGCACCAATATCCATAGTGCGAGATAAATGCGATTCAGAAAAGGCGTGTTTTCAATCTTTTCTTGAAAACATGTACACTGGGGGATAATTTAATGTTCCCAGAAAGAGAGTTTCATAATTGAGGTGCAGCACTGGAAAATGATTGGCGACCATCTAGCACGTTAAGAAGGTGTTTATGCGAAGACCTCATGTTACAAGGAGTTTTGATGATAATACTAATGATGATATATGATGATATGATAACAATGATGGTGATGATAAGGCTGAACTTTTTTTTTACCTTGTTTAGTGTACTCACCACCTGCCAATGATGATTTTGAATAAAAATACAATTTTATTTTTGGCCAATTAGCCCACCCGCCACAACAAAAAATGGAAATTTCAGAAAAAAATAAGTGTTACTTTATTTTTATTATGCTTGCCCCTGCCTTGAAATCTCTAAAAATAAGATATGTATTATTTCTTCCTAATCATATAAATTTAAAACATTTAACCATCCCATAATACAACACTGTTTACATTCAACAATACAGTTTTATTTTCTCATCCCTCTGGATGTTTTTGGCAAAATTATTTGCTAAATAAGAAAACAACATTTTTTTTTTTTCTACCCTCTTCTGACAATCTTTAAAAAAATAAGTTTGTGAAACAAGGTATAAAAAAGTCTCGCTTAATAATAATGATGATGATGATTATTATTACTATTACTGTGATGTGCTGGTTTTATAATTGGTAGAGATGACTATGGTGAAGGAAAGTTAAACTTACAATCACTTAGAGGGTCCAGTGTGTGAAGCATTAACTGCAATGCACCATGCCTATAGAGTGGGCCAGCACAGAGAATCGGCATACTCCTTGTCCTCCCATTGTGGCCATTAACCTATGGAAAACAAAATAAAATATACTTCAAAACCATTCAATCAAATCAAGGTGAAAACATAATCAAAATATTACTTATTGGCCAAAAAATGGAAAAAAAAAATAAAAAAGGATATGTACTGTTTATAAACAACGCCTAAAGAAGAAACAAAATTGTTAACCGTTTCACATGTTTTTGATAGAATATTATTTTTGAAAAAATACACATACAACATTCAATCAAATTGGAAAAACAAATTAATATAACAGTTATCAACTAAAAATAAAGACAAAATCTTTTTATTTTTTTAAATTAATGCACAATTTTTTTTTTTATAAAACAATTATATAGTCTTGTAGCTGATAGTAATTTTGTTATAAAACATTTTTTATAAAACAATTTTATAGTCTTTTAGCTGATAGTAATACTGATTTCTATTTATCATTAACGTCAAATTGATTACAAACAAATTATGTGCAATTTGTATTAGTTTACATATTTTTGTTCTTGTTTCGTCTGCCAATCCAACAATTGCCGTCTAAATGTCCGTTCATAATATCAGGTTTTCTGTGATAAATCTATGATTTATCCATATATGGGTATAATGATATCATATCACACCCATATATAGAAATGGGCAAATCACAGGAATAAGTCATATGAAACTTGATAATGCATGGAGATATCACATGATATAATTAGTTATTAAAAAGATAGACGTTCCTAGACGTCATATAACCTCATTTGACCCACGATATCTCGGAAGTTATTCTAATAGCCTCTAGTCTGTCAGTTACATTGCAATTTTAAATGAAAATATTACAAATCATATTCCTAGTAAACACATTACATAAATCATTTTGGATGTTTCTTTAATTAACTGTAGAATGAAGAATGTTAATATATTAGATTCCATTACTGAAGCTTTCATATAAAGATATGTTAAACTAATACACAAGATATTTTTTTTTTAAATTTTAGACTTATTATATGAGAAAATTGGAAAAATAATAATTAAAAAAAAACCCACCAGGATCTGAGGCCAGGAAGGATGGAGGAGATTAACTACCGGTATACCGGTAACCACTGGATCCGAGAGGTATAAAACACAAAGAAATGGCAGACGTGGAGGTGGTTATGAAATTCCAAGATTTTATGAAATTATCAAAATGCTAACTACGGCCAACCAATCATTCTTGGTTTGGAATGATCAGTTGCCACTTGCAAGATGGAACTACAATATGTATTGCTATATAAAACTCAGAATATGAAGCTAAAGGATTTGAGTTGCTTAATAACATTTTTAAAAAAATACCGTATAGCAATTATAAGATTGAAGCCCAAGAGATTTGGGAGTTGGAACGTGACCAACATAGCCATAAAAATCCTCATGGAATTACCACTTCATAAAACATACAGTTGAAAGAATTATTAACCTGCACACATATAATTTTAGCTATAATGTATACAGTTCAAACACTAAAAGCAAAAAACAGTCAAATAAAGGCACTTAGAGAGTGGTAATTAGACTTGAGCACACAAAACTTAAGAAAACATTCGTGGGAATTAACACATGCGAAAGACGCAATAACCTCTTATTATTAAAGAAGCTGATGCAAAGGCCATATTCTTATTTTTAACACTAAACATCACAATTAAATTTGAGACCAAATTCATCTTTTCATACTTGTTAAAAATGAAAACATCTAGTCTGCTGTATGCTTTGATTGGTCAATGTGCATGCATCTTATAGCCATTAGAATGTGCATGTGATATAACTATCAATAGCCCTTTAAATTATTGATGCTCATTTCAAGTTAACTCATAAAAACTAATTCCCTGCTTAAAGTAATATTGACAGAAGTATAGTGTTCCCTGTAGTTAGCAAACAGCACAACCAGGTACCACAATATTTATTTGATGAGTCTATAATCAATTGTGTATAAAAGTGTTTATGCTTGGAGACCATAAACACTTAAGTGTATAAAGAGAGACTTTATTGTGTGGGGAAGAAACTTACACTGGTTAAGTTATTAGCTAGGTTTAGTCGAGTATGTTGCTATAGTGATGATGATGGCACCATGATGTCACTAAGGATGATGGATGGTTTGGTAACAACAGCTGAGTGATAGTTCCCTACATACTGAAAGAATAGGTTTTTGATGATGTTGATGCTGAAAATGATTAGGACAATGGCAACACTGATTATGATGATAATGGCGATGATGATGATGATGAGTCCAAATTTTAAAAATTCTTGCCAGCCATTATTTAAATTTTAATATAGGCCTAGGCCTAATTCTAGGGTTTATCTAAATTAACTGTAATGTATTATTAGTTTAGCTCTTTCCACGAAAGTGGTTATAATTCATCTGTAACTCATGCGGTCAATGTGGTATTTGCTAAAATGTATAATTCGCTCGAAATGGAAGCTGCCAGAATTTTCCTTACTGGTATCTTGCGTGAGTTAACGCTTAAGTAACATGTAAAGCAACACCCTATAATCCGGTTACTTAAGCGTTAACTCACACAAGATACCAGTAAGGAAAATTCTGGCAGCTTCCATTTCGAGCGAATTATACATTTTAGCAAATACCACATTGACCGCATGAGTTACAGATGAATTATAACCACTTTCGCGGAAAGAGCTAAACTAATAATACATTACAATTAATTTAAAGTAAGCTTGAAACACACACCTCTCCCCCCACCCCAACAAAAGTGTTAGGTTATGTTTTTACTGCAACATGGTATTTCATCTGTGTCCCTTAGTAAAGTATATTTTTTTCATTCTTAGTGATGAGAAAAATAAAGCTTGGTGTTATTAATGAAATGCCTTGGATTGGAAGTTGAAAATCATAATTACAAAGAAACAAGGCCATTCCAAGTAAACAATACAAACACTTTTAAAAGCACTTAATAAATATTAAGCATTGCATCATTATTAATAATACTCACATTAATGAATGTGAGTATTATTAATACTCGCATTCATTAAAATCACAAGGATAACTTAAATGTATATTTGCAGAACCTCTAATTACAATCCCATAGCCTATTTTCAGTTCTAGAATGCTTCATTTGCATCAAAGAATACTTTATATCAATCTCAAAATGGATTGTTTTGTTGATACAAACTCTTAATTTATTTTGTCAGTTAGTAATAATGCAGTTGGAAAAGCTAAAAGGACCTCCACGCAAACACCCTACATTCATTTATATATAATGTTAAGATGGCAATCGTTTATTAATTTCCTGCGATAGATTCAGCTTTAGTTTAATGATTAACTCATGATCTTACCCAATGATAAACCTGAAATTAATTAACTTTCTTGGAATACATTATTACTTGCAATATACAGCGCAACCCATAATTATTGTGCTGCTATTAAAATGCATCATTTATTTATTACTGTGAAAACAATAATTCTTTTGAATGTAATAACATGGGATCTTGCAATACGGTTTGAATTATGCATGAAATATATTAGTGAATTATTTACGCTGTATGGGAATATACGCAATGTCGAGATTAATTAAAAAGGTTGAAATAACAACAAAGTTTTATGCGCAGCTTAATAAAAAGCAACACGAGCATTTCAACCTTGAATATGAGCTTTATGATAGCGATGACTGTTATGATACCTTGATAAATATTAGGCTTGCCATACCACAACCAGAATCAGTGACCGAAACAACAAAATTTACTTTATTTAAAATATTCACTTTCCAGACAGCTTTAAAATGATAAGTAATTTACTGGAATTGACTTACTAATACCAAACTATTATATTATAATTACTATTATATTGCCAAAGTTATATGTAAAATTATTATAGCCTCTCTGTACTATTAACAAAAAGGTAGAAATAACAACAAATTGTTATGCATGGCTTAATGAAAAGCATATATCAACCTTGAATAAAAAGTTTATCATAGCAATGACTATGTTGATAAACCTTGATAATATGGGGCTTGCCATACCAAAAAACACCATCAGTGACGAAAACAAGAACATTTACTTTTACAATACTCATATTCTCCACATACTGTAAGCTTTAAAATGATAGGTAATTTACCGGAATCGACTTACCAATACCAAACTATTATATTACAAATTACATTGTACCACCATAATGCTGAAGAATATGCGTAAGAGTACTATGGCCAATTTCTTATGCTAATTACTACTTAGACAACATTTTAGCAATCAGTACGTGGATTTTGCGATGACAGAAATAACAACAAATTCGTATGCTTGATTTTGCGATGACATCATATTGTAGATGATGATGAAAATTATGATGATTATGATGGCAATGATTACGACGATAATATGCTAATTACTACTCACTTAACATTTTAGTGACTGTACGCTAATTTTGCGATGGCATCATGTATAATGATGAAAATTATGATGATGATGATGTTATGATGGTGATGATAACAACAACGATGAGGGTAATGATGATAAACATAATAATGACGTAAATAAATCATTAATGATAAATAATTAAAGAGTATACCCATATTTAAACATATGATATTAGAAGAAAATATTGATGTACCGGTAAATAAACGGATGATCACAAAAGAAGCAAGAATTTTCTAGAAAAGTCTATGTCTGAGAGATTATTATATATAATATATTAAAAACATTATTATTATTATTATTATTATTATTATTATTATTATTATTTTTATGAATCGGTGAAAATTCCTGAAAATTTAAGCGTTGTCAATGTGGAAGTGGAAAATCAACTATTGAATATTTTAATTGAACTTTCCAGTAGTTATGTTTTAACATGAAATGAATGTTCCATGACCTTGACCCACGACCTTGACCCACAGCAATTATGAAAATGTTTTGTCCTGCTTCAGAACATTCAAATTTAATGTTTATTCATTATATTTTGCATCTAGAAACACAGAGTTGATATCACCGTTGGCTAGACAGTCTATTTAGATTCTCTAGATGAGGGAATAACAATGTCTACTTAAGTTTATTGTCTCCCTAGGCA